AAAAATCACTAGTTTTGAAACATGTGACACCGAACAAATCACTAGTTTCGTTACGTTTCTCGAAAATGACGTAACGACTCACGCCTAGTGTCAAGTGTCAAAATCAAAACGCATGTGTATAAAATGAAAGTTGTAAACAAAACAACCGATGTTGCAATAATAAGAAATGGACAATTTGCGATAGGTGTTACAAGTAAGTGTTTTTACAAGCTTTTATTATAGTTTTGCTTTACAGCAGAACTGACGGTGACGGTAGCGAAACGTTTATGTGATGGCGACGAATATTAGCAAAACAAGCTTTAAGATGTCTGCGAAAATAGTAAGTTTGCGTAAGTTGTGAAATAGCAAGTAGAAACCCCAATTTAGACTCTGGTACTGGCATGACATAATGACAATGTCAACTTGATCAACTTCAATTTGTCAACTGTCATTTGTCTTTTGCGATAGGTAATTATTAAAAATTAACTTTATTTTTGCCTTTAATTAAATTGTTATGCTATTATAATATTACATGAAATATCTATTGTTAATAATAATTTTCTAGCAAAAATAACATAAAGCAGATTAACTCAAACACTTTTCTATTTGCTCAGCTCAGCCTTTCTAGCTACGTACATACTTTATTGTTCCCACGCATTGCAATTTATAGACGCGAGATGCACTTCCTACAAGATTTTGATCCTGAAAAATCTGTACGTGAAAGAAGGAAACTTAATCGAAAAAGCTATTTCATGAAGTAAGACAGTGTGTGTCTATAAAGGTACGATTTTTTAAAATAAGCATTGCGTTGTCAAAAGCATTTTTATTTCAGTCGTAATAAAAAGATTTACAATGAACGAGGACAAATAGCTGCTACAGGTAAAGACCTTTGCGATTGTTTAATTGAGAAATGCCCTGGTTGTCATTTTCCCTGTCCAAAATGTTCATCATTAAAGTGTGGAAATGAATGCAGGTATGTGTAGTACAATATATATATTTTTATAAGTAATGACTGTCAGATTCAATTCAAATCAATATCAGTAAAGAAAAGCTCATTGGTCAATCTCAGTGTTATCATTGTTGCTCTCATATTAATTTAATTTATATGATATATGCATACTTTCACCAAACCTATTTCATTGAGATATAAAATGTATATTAAAAAATTTTTAAAACTCACGATTGATAACTTTGTCTCTAAAAAAAAAACAATAAAAAACCAAGTACCAACAGAGCATAGCCATCTAGGTTGATTTGCATTTAGCTGTACTTCAGCTAAGATCTCAAATTAATGCAGAACAAACACAACACTTATCATAGCATGATTGAAGAGCAAAAAACGTAAATAGGTAGCTTTATTGGGCTAATATATAATATTAAGGGTTAACTAAATAAAATAAGTTTAATCTAGCTTTTGTATATTTTTCAGGGTAAATAGAAAATGGGTGTATGAAAAAATTGAAATTGAAGGCTTTGATACTTGCATAAAGAACAGTTATAAAAATAAATAAATAACTGAATTTAATTAAAAGCAAGTAACTTAAAGAAGTATTCCACTTCTACTTCCCCTTCCTCTGGCAGATCTGTGCAATGTACTGCATTATGTAGTATGGATTTTCCATAGTGTGCTCTGATTGAGTTTGGATATAGCTGACGGCACAACTCCTGGAATCATTTGTATAATAAAATTATTATTCATAACTTTGTGTTTTTATGTAAGCTTTAATATGATTATAGCATTATAACACTTGTATACAGACTTACAGGGTCTCTTGGGCCACATAATTTTCTAAATTCAGTGACAACACAACACTTTGGATCTTTGCTCTTTACTTCCAGTGCAATACAACTGCCTTCTGCTAATTGAATACACATGGTCTGAAAATAAATAATTCCAAGTAGGATTTTAGTCACTTTATAATGGTGGTAGTGATTATGAATTGTGTTAAGCAATAAATATCAGTTATTACACAGGCGCAAAAACTTTGCCGATGGCCGCATGACGTCACGCGTTTACAGACTACTGAACCGACAAGCGCAGGACGCGGTCTGTGTTAGTGGGAGGAAGTCATTGGTAAACCACTTTGTGGGCTGTGGGATCGGCGCACAAGCATCATTTCAGTCGTCACTTCCCTAATCATCTTTTTAGCAATTAAATCAACATCATTTTTTGTAAAATAATTGTTTGCTTAAACATCTACTTTTTAGATCGTATGTTAATAAAAAGTTTTTACGCCTACCTCATATTCCGGTAAAACACCTCTGTATATTTCGTAAAATTCCTTGGCATTCAGTAAACTCACTGAAAACATGGCTATAGCAGATATGTAGAAACCTTCTGAAGTGCTTATCTGTTCAAGAATTGACCCTACGTTACCATCGATTATGGCGTGGGGCTTTATGATGCAGCAAGTGCATTCCGTCATAGTTGCTCTGTATGGTACTCTCGGTACACCATGCTCATATCCAAAATATAAATCTAACATCTAAACAACGAAAAACATATCTAAACGAAAGAAACTAGATGATGAATCCACATAAGTTTAATCCGCTGTTATCATAACCTAGGATACTTGAAAGGGTTTATGTTCTATTCCGTTGTCGAAACACTTGTACAAAACATATTGTCACTCTTAATTTTTTGAAAGAGAATTAAGCAATATCATTTCGTACATATGTTTCGACATTGGAAACTCTAACTTTCAGGTTGTCGTCGATGGGCGTCGGATGAAGTAGCATTATGCGATTCGCTACGTCGCTGCTGGTTTTCCCACTTCTTCTATGATAAAAATGCTGATTTAAATGAGGTCAATAACAATGCCCATACACGATTTGCATCTTCCTGTGTTTGGCATCCATGAGCAACATTTTTCAACTTATTTTCCCCGTACAGGCGCCGCAATGTGCCTGGCGCTGCTATCGCGGGATCGGTATTTCCTAAACATTTTCGCCACTTTTCAACAGCGTTTGGCGCAACCAATTCCAACCCTATTATTTCTCCACCAGTTACATAGTCTATTATAATCCTGAAATGTTATCTCATGGTGAGTAATGAACATATCTACCAGATATGGAGTATAAAATTGTTTATGTTCTTTTCTTTCATTTATTCATTCAAAATGTAACGGAAATGCAAAAGGTTGATGTCTATTTGTCTATAGTCTTACTAATCGATAGTATAGTCTTACCAATATTATGAAAGCGAAAGTTTGCCTGGATGGTTGAATGTATGTGGCCTAAGCTGCGGAACGGATCTCGATTAAATTGTTCATAGATGTAGAAAATAGTCTAGAAGGGCAAATAGGCCCCTCGACTTTGAAGTATTTTTTTTAATTGCACGCGGACAGAGTCATGGCTAAAAGCTACTATATCTAAATTTTAATAAATCCTTAGTTTAATTGCTATGTAAGTTTGATATTATTTCTTAAAGTCGTCATTTATCAAGATAATTTAATTAGGCAATATGAAGTTATACTTACGGCATCATATGGCTACCAGACAAATGAGAATAAAGTTCTAAAGCAAACTCTTTAGTTACTTTACCGTTTCTCATTCGAACAATACGAAAACCTTTCTTCATTATGAACGTTATAATCTTTCCGTGTTCGCTTGGTGGTACTGGCTTAATTATTGCAAATGTACTGTGAATAATTAATAGTTTTTATAGCAGTAACTATTACGAAACAATGTAAACGAATTTATCCTAACCTTTGAACATTGTCGAAGAGTATTCTGCGAGTAGCCGGTGCACAGTCAATAATGTGTAGTAATTTTGAGAATATGTTAATGATATTACCAATCTGAAGCATTTCTAATTTAAGTGGAGGAAGATGTACTCGTCTTAATAGGTTTTTTCCTTTTTTCGATTCTATAACTTGTACGGAATTATCAAAAGGGAAGAAATTTAAAGTTAATTCCTTTATTTCATCCGCATCCTTGTCATACATTTCGCACAAAAATGTATATTTATCAAAATAATCGGCAGGCTGAAACAAATATGAAGTTTTGTATAAACGATAACTGTAACACAGTTATCGTTTTTATTGTTTGGCAGTGGTAGTGTCCGCTTTTACATCTTAGCACGAATGGGCCGGCACGCCCGATGTAATCGCACGACCACACAGAAGACAGGCTGGAAATGGAAGCAATTCCGTGTTTCGTCTAATAAGTGTGGTGCCGAAGGCCTAAGTTAAGTCCCTTTCTCTTTACCACCCTTTTCTTATAAGGAGAGGATGGGAGGGGGGAGTGGATTTTACGGAGGAGATGCATAGGAAGGGGAAATATACTCTTTATGTTTGTCTCCTCCTCTGTCGGATAAGGGTAGGCAACGCATCTGCAATTGCAGATGTCTATGGGCAGCGGTCATTTCGCTATTTTGGCAGATTCAGGTGGCCGCTTGCTGGTTTGCCACCTTATGATATAAAAAAAAACTAAGGATAAAATCGTAAGACCAATTACAATTAAGTTGAACAAAATACTGAACAATAATTCCTCTCTGTATGAAACTGGGAACCTAATTACTCTTGTTGCCGAAGTGCCTAATACTAATTACTACATAGAATTTATACCCATCTCACCATTTCTAAAAATGTTTTAGTTAATTCACAAAATGTTCGATATATTTAAGATTACAGTATTAATATTTGGTTACAAACTCGATGTAATAAAAAAGACCATAAAATCGACTTCTGGTAATTTTACCTTTCCGATTTGACATATAAAAAACTGAATTATGTTTAGAAAAAATGCTTTATTCAAATCACATTATTTGAAATTCTAATAAATAATATCAGTATAATTAGCGATTGAAAATTAAATACTACGTATACTAATATTTACTGCATCTTTATTCATTAAACAAATCCACAGTAATATGAAATGAATAGGCAGTTTCTTTGAAATTAAACCTCTCGTTTCGGTCCGACTTAAAAACGGTTATTGAAGATACTGACAGTTTAATTTATCTCCATTATTAGTTCAAAATCTTACCACCGTTACCAACCACAACCATCAGCGCCAAAATTACCAAAAGCAAATAAGCACAAAACATCAATTCCCATAGCCTGTTGTGTCATTAATTGCCAATTGACATTGACAACTGTTAGATTTTGAGACTTTGACATGTTTTCAATGTTTTCTACGTTTTGTTGACGGTTATTTTAGTTTTATCGATAAGGTGTTTTCTAGTTTTACATATTCATGCTAAACAATGGTAATTATATGCTTACAATTAATATATATATGGAATTAAGTATTTAGTTTATAATGTCCCGTGGAATTTTCTTTCAGGAAGGCGCTTACAGTGACAAATATTCTTTTATTGGAGAATGGTACGATAATCAGGCTTGTTTTATTCGGCGTTTCAATGTTTTTTATTATCCTGTTGATAATACATTAGAAATGTACGATATAAAAAACCGAAAAACGTTTGTAAGAAGAGTTAAAGTTAACGGAATCAATCTGGAAAACTTTTACATTGGCTGCACATTGTCCATTTTGGGACGATTAATTAAAATTGTAGACTTTGCTTGTGAAAATACTAGAAAACTATTACATAAAGATGTGCAAGTGTAAGTATTGTTGTAATAATCTGTAGGTGATAATATGAATATGTGTTTATTTATTATAAACTTTATTACTACAGTACCTTTGCAATGATCAAACCATTGCCCACCAAAATTGTTGGTAAGATAGTAAAGCATCTAAATGACCATGGACTGAGAATATCTAAAATGAAGAAAGCCAGACTTACCGCTGATGATATACACATACTTTATAGATCTTTAGTGGGTGATTCAACATTTCCGTAAGTTGAAATATTTTTATGTAAGTTATGTTTTGTTTTATTTTTTTTGTTATTAATCGTTTATTTTTAATTTTAGCTTTTTGCTAGAACACCTCAGTGGACAACTGGTGTATGGAATGGAGTTAGTTGGAAAGGAGTCAGTATCAAATTGCATTAAAATCTTAGGAGATAAAGATCCACATAAAGCAGAGCCCGGTACAATTAGAGCTTTGTATGGAACTGATTCAGTCAGAAATTGTGTACATGCAGCATCCAACCCAGAAGATGCTTTACAAGTGAGTTTTTCAGTTTATTTGCAGTTATTATAAGAGGAGTATAAAAGCCAATACAAGGTATACTCTTACTTGTATTTACCACAATTTGTTCTGTCTGGTTAAAAAATAAATAATTTATATAATTACATACTAGACTTTGCTTGTAACATTGTCCATGTAGAATAAAAAAATCATCTAATAAATATAGCCTATGTTAACCAGTGATAATGTAGTTTTCTAATGGCAAGAGATATTTTTTTTAGTTTGGTCTTGTAGTTTGTGAGTTATTACATTCCAAAATAGAGTTATTTCCTTTTTGTAATATTAGTATAGAAAAGAAACTAATATTAAATTATAAACTATTTTAAATTGAACATAATGAGACTGGAATTGTTAATCAAAATAAGTCATATTAAACAATTGATTTTCAGCAGGAATTTCCTTCTGTTAGCATTTTTTCCATTATTTGTCTTTTATTATTTATTTTTCAGGACATAGAGTATTTTTTCCCTCCCCCACCCCTACGTTCGACACGTCTCCGTCTTACAGCGACATTATCAAACTGTACACTTTGTATTGTAAAACCTCATGCAATTAGAGAAGGGAAATTAGGCACTGCGTTAGAAATTATTGATGAAGGAGGTTTTGAAGTCACGGCTTTAAATATGTTTATTGTAGAGATTGATAATGCTGCAGAATTTTATGAAGTGTACAAAGGGATTGTACAGGAGTACAAGGTTTGTATTCTATGTTCACTTATTGCTTTTATAGTTTAATTTCAATGTTTTACATTACTTAAATAATCATGATGTGTCATTTTTTAATAACTTAGTTACATTAGTTTGTACTAAAGTTTAGATAATTCAAAGTTTGGTTTTTGTTGTTTTTCAATTCTTAATGATAACCTGTATATTTAATTTTCAGGGTATGGTTGAAGAGTTAGCAAGTGGTCCATGTGTTGCCATGGAAATAGTGGCTAAAGATAAAAGTGTGGTCACGGCTGTAGAATTTAGAAAACTTGTCGGTCCAACAGATCCTGTTAGTAAATATATTACATTTTACAAATAATACAACAAGCATAATAGTTGAAAATTATAAAAACATTACCTCAACTGGTCTGATTCCTCTTTGGGAAAAATATGAATCAAAAACCTCACTCATTAAAATCTGTACAGCATTTTATAGTAAAAGAAAATAAGGTGACATATATACAAATCTACATATATAAAAATATCATGTTTTGTCTAATGTGTGTGCAGGCCGGAGATCTAATATTCATCCATTATAACTTACTAGCATTTCCATATAAAGAAGGGAGGTGAAGTTGGCTAAAGAGTGAATGCATAGGAAGGGGATATATCCTAAGTCTATGCGTCTTTCCTGCGTCGCTTAAAGATAGGCAACACGTCTGCAATTCTATTTACTGAATACTGAAACATTAGTCACATCCTTTACCAATACTCAGTACTCAGTCAGTTGATTAAACTACGCATTTACTTTATTTTCAGGAAATAGCAAGATTATTGCGTCCCCACACATTGAGAGCTAAATTAGGTAAAACGAAAGTGCAAAATGCAATACATTGCAGTGACTTGGATGTTGATGGTTTGTTAGAGGTGGAATATTTCTTCAAAATTCTAGATCTTTAAAATAAGGCTGTTTACTTAATTAGATTTTTTTATTTGCTTGAGAAGCACCTATGATATATGAAAATGTATTAGGTACAAACTCCTTGGAGGCTTTAATTCTAGTCTAATCTAACTAGAATGGATAATTCGAATATTTATGTGGTAGCAATGTATTCTTCTTAAGACATGAATTAAAGTCTCTAGCAGTTGTACTATTTGATTTGTATTCTGTCTCAATTGTGAGTTTCCACTGTCGCGATACTTGTATAAAAACACTGCCCTCTTATTTTCTTTGAAAATGTATATTATACAAGTGTTATGGAATTCATGGTAATTTCTAATTTTGGTGGTGTTCATACTCAGAAATATTGTTCAATCAAGACTGATTTTGCTAACTTTATTGTGTTATTTTAAAGCTGCTATAATAAATGATTCATGTCTTAGTTTTTGTTTCTATTTCCTAATTTACAAATGTTTCCTGTTTGAGAAGTTAAGACGTTAAGACGAGCCTCAGCCTTAAGTAGACAGAAATCTGCATGTAATGACGATTTAGTTAATCCCCGATATTATATTAATTCGACAGAGTTTTTTTGTAGCAAAAAATTAAAATTACCAACACACTAAAAACAAAATCTCACTTATTTTTCTCTAAGTTCAGTATTTATTTTTAAATTAGTCGTTCGTCACACTGGACACTATTGAATAAAGGGTTAAAAGAGTTTTTTTTTTATCGATTAGTGATATCAACGAAGTTATTAAAAAGAGTGTGACAGCATGCTATCCCTCGGACATCTTTAAACGCCTCACCAAATTACAAGGCACATTCCAAACACAATGCTCATGAGTTTGTTTACATTTGTCTGTTTCATAACTTAACGATGTCGGCTATTATATTATCTCGGAGACAATCGCGGCAGTTTGACTGATTACATAATTTATGATACAATAGCTTATTGGTTACCGTCTAATGACGCGGTCTTAGGTTCGGATTACACAATAAAAGTGTTGTTTAATTACAACTTCCGATATGCATTTAATTTATTGTAAAGGAATTATAAAAGCAAAATGTATTGTATTTTTGGTCAATTTATATTAGGTAATATATTCGGTCACTGTTTATTTATTTGTTTTTTTTTTAACGTGCATTTAAAGTATCCTTTCGCCCGTGACTCCATCTTCGTCGAATTAAAAATCGAAAGTTAGTAGCTTATGTTTATTTTTCCGGACTATACATCTATGCCTCAAACTCTAACATCCATTCATCCATTTATAATAAACTTTCGCATTTATAATATCAGTACTAGTAATATAAATATTCACAAGAATTCTGTATACATTTAGATTCTGTTTACATTAAGTTTTTTAATGTCATTTGCGAGAGATTGTAAAAGATAGAAGACCTTCAACTTTGTTATTTAAAATGTTTGGAAATGGAATCATTTCTGTTCGAATAATATTTAGCTCAATTATGTTTATTTTTAGTTAATATTAAAAATATAAGTAAACTAGAAACGTAACGTGACTTTCTTTATTTTTTTCCTACTTTTGATTTGCACGGAAATATATTGCTATCTCTGTTTATTTAAAGAGAAAGAGAGACGGGATTATGTTTTTGTACAATTTCACCTTTGGGTAGAGTAAAAGGCAGGTTCAATACCAGAAAGTGTGCTGGAGTACGCATTTAAGAGTTAGAGTACCCTTCCTTTTCAAACACCTTCGAATATAGCGTTTTAAGTAGTTGTTAAAAGTTTGTCGATTTGCAGAGAAGACTTGGTCTTACGTTATTTGCATTCCAAGACCTTATGCGTAGTGTAGGTTTTTAAAAATGTTGACAGACAAGTAAGCGATTTACTATCAGATAAACAGGTCCATCATCTCAAGTATTTAAAAATAAAGAAATTAATGTTTTACTTCATGTTCATTGTGATCGAAAAAATTCTATTTAAATATTTTTGTTGCGCTTTATATTGTTTAAATTTGCTTCAAAGCACGTTTTCTTAGATAATGTAATAATTTAGTTATGTTAACATCTCATAATAGATTTAAGACGTATATTTGGCACGTACAGTTTAGCTTATGTTTTAGACAAATAACTGATGTTGCAGTAAAAGTATGAATGTTTACATTCTTTACTTTTTGTAACAAATTATTTACACTTTGTGAACAGTTAATGTATGTTTAGTAAATAATTACGTTAACGTAATATAAACTTCCTTTTAATTTCTAAAATTATCTCCAAAATCTCTTAATGTTTGTTCAATTACAAATGTTAGTTTAGTTAGCAATTACGTTTAATACATGAAATTGTGATTTTTCTTAAAAAAAAAGTTAACAATTTTTAAGGAATGAAGACCAATTCTGAATCTTGCTAATCTTACTAATCTCACTAATATTATAAATGCGAAAGTTTAGATGGATGGATGGATGTTTGTTAGAATTTGTAGCCTAAACGGCTGAACGGATTTCGATGAAATTTAGTATACATGTAGAGAATAAACTGAAAGAACATATAGGCTACTCACTTTTGTTTTTTTTTCGACTCGGACGGAGTCGTGGGCGAAAGCTAGTAGGTTATATTTTGAACGTCACATCTCGTTTGTTATGATTTTAGATATTGTTTATAAAATACAGGTAGGTCTATTATTACTATGCAAGGAAATCCGAGAGGAAACAAGGAAGGAATTTATGAACTACCTCATACATCTTACATCGATGACGTTCTTGTTTTAGTGCCTAAAGAGTTTTGAAAAATTTATAAAAATCCCGGTAGACTCATGAAACAAAACTTAATGAAAATTTGTGATATTAACAAAGTGTTGAAAGAAGATACACTCAAATTATTATACAGCTTTCGCTTTTTAAACTGAATGTTAAGATTTATAATTGAGTTAGCATGAATGGTTTGGTTTGGTTGGTATGTTCTGGTGGGGAGCGCGCGCGGCGTAGGGTTGTAGCGTCAGTCGATCATCACAGTCGCACAAAACATACGAGGTCCGCATACGTTAGTGAAAACGCAAGGAGGCGCACGCGAATCCGATTTCCGTCTCCGTTCTTAGTCCTTGCAATAACAATGCTTATTTAAAAAACTATTCCTCAGTGACACAGTGCTTGTTTTATAGAATCAATACGATAACATTTTCAAACGTTGTGTAGTTAAGCATTTTATGATAAGGTTTTTCTTCCGATTTGCGACTGCGGTGAGTTTTTAATTATTGCATCTCTATTTGAATGTTAATTAATCGAATTTTTGATATTTTTAATATGTTATTTTAACGACTGCGTAAAATAATGTAAAATAAAACTTATTAGTTAGAATTTAATTTCGAATCTAATCATAAAATCGGAACTCATAACAATGTGTAAGAAAAAAAGACGCCCCTGAAAATCTCGCACGCGGCTTATTGAGTAGAGTGCACGTCTAATTTTCTACGAGTCTAAGTTTGTTTCTTTTCCAACTGTGGAAATATTTATTTTTAATATATTAACTCATTCAAACTCAACTAATTTGTCCTCAAACTATCAAAATTTCCTATAGAATAGATTAAAATATCTTGAGAATTCATGGAGAGGTACCCGGTATAGGTAGACCTAGAAAGAGATGGATTGCGTGAAAGGTGACACGATCAAGAAGGGAGTGATGGTTGAGATGACGGATAATAGAGTTATTTGTAATACACGGGAGTATGCTAAGGTAGGGGAGAGGATGTTTTTGACTGCTTTTATAATATTCATTTCATAATAATGAGGTAATGATGCATAGAACTTATTGAGTGAAATGTCGTTACTGTCTACGCACTTTACATTTCCCTGTGACGTATACTCCTTTGTTAAAGACAATCAGACATCAAACATTTCCTTTTCTATTGTAGTGTTATCGAGTCTTCGTTTAACGATGTACTAATTTCGACTGAATGCGTATGTACGTTGACTTTTTAGATATATCAATGTGTGTTTTATTCTAATCGTTATAACGAACGTCGTGGAGTACTTACCGGAATTCAAACTTTAAATATTTTCTGTTATACCATTGTACCTTAATCTCTAAAAGGGTTTACATTTCAACATTATCTTGTACAATTTCTTGTACTCGCATCTCATTTTTATTTACTCTATTTAGTGCCATAGGCAGCGAAGTTACGTTTTGATCGCTTCATGATAAACAAGATTTGAAATCCGTTTTAGTATCCTTTATTTGTCATAAATAATCTAATCGAAATAAGTGACAAAAAGTCTATGTGATAATTGTATACACGTTACGTTATGTCAATCCTCTGAATCATGTTAACTTGTTGACAGTTATTTACTGCTTAATCATAATACTAAAACATTTCATAAATGTATGAACTTTGCCAAATTCTTCGTTATAACAAAAATAATAATGTCCTTAAGTAATACAACTTAATATAAATAAATACAAATTAGACTAATATCATAATTATGAACATGTGTAGCAGCATTTGCATTGTGTTAATGAAATTTTCACAAGTTTTCCTCCCGTGCTAAATTTCAGATTGTCACTCACATATTTATTGTTATAAGTTGGATTTTTTAGTTGTTATTCGATATCGTTTTTAAAATCTAAATATAAATTTAAACCATGCAGTTTTTAAAGAGCTCTTTTCTCCGCTTCCAGCAATTGCTTCGCGTTGTCATAAATTACCGCTACATAACATCAAAACCTTAGTAGTTGATAACAAAAACTAGCCTCACTCACGATTTCGTCTGTACAGAATTAAAAAAATATTCTAGCAATAGCCTAACTCAATAATAATGTATAGTTTTCTAATTGAAAAGGAACTTTACTATCTGAAGTCGGCACTGTAGTTTTTAAAGTTAATACACATAAAAATATAAATCTTTCCTCTTTAAAATATTAAGTATAGACGCCTTACATACAGATTCTATGAAGTAATTACAAAATTATTCATAGATCGCGAGATATAATTAAAAAAAAAACGGGCTGTAAGTAATGCATTGTAATTACTGGTACTTACCATTTGTAAGAAATAACTGAAATATCCTTTGGTGTAATTAGTGATAAAATATGTAGAATCTGCTACAAAACTTAATCTTAAGCTGTTTGTTATAGTCGTTTTCACACTTTTTTAATATTATAGTGTTATGTGTTAATTTGTTACCGTAATTGTGAAGTGCTAATTTATTTGTTTTGGTATACTTTTGTATTTGATCATTTTGTACGTAAACAAAAGATCTATGTCGGTTTAATTGGAAATATATTAAAAATAACTTTTGGATTGGGACGTATTGCATAATAGTTTATTTTCAACGGATATTCTAAAATGACGTAACATTTAATTTACATACAAAATCACTCTTAAGTAGATTTTTTACATGTAAATACGTTGTTCGACAACAATCGAAAGTGCGCAGATGTTTTTTAATCACAATTGTTACTGGAATATACGATTGCATATTTAGATAGATACATGAAAAAGACACATCTGTCTTCTCTATCATCTAAATGTAGACATATAGACCAGGATAGATGTATCCTGGTGTATCTTGTATTCTTTAAAAATAAGACAAGTTTATATTTCATTGCGATTATTGTTGCGTGACTACTTAGTGCAACGTAGTTAATGTCATCTGTTAAAGATCACGCAACGATTTATAACTTATGTCGATGAAGATTATCATCTTAGTAAAGTGCTATATAAATCCTGTAAACAAAGGTCATAGACAGTTTTCTTTTATGGTCGGCTCTTTGACGCCCTCTTGCCCCTCTCACGTAAGGATCAGGGACGTTTCTTTTAGGTTTTTTATTGCCCGTAGACAGTTAGGGTGCAGTTTCATTAATTGATAAATCGGTCGTTATACAGCAGAGCCCCATGTACGAAGCAACGACTAGTGAAAATGATCGTAAGTGAAGACAAGTGAGGGCTCATCCAACGCATGCAGGCCCTTACGACTAAGGATATGGTGCACTTAAGCGAAGTCCGCAAACATTTCAGTACGCATCTAAAATTCGTCGGTATTGTAATTAGTAAATAGACTATTTTTTTCTCGTCTTTTTTTTATATAAATTGTTGGTTGATGACGCTTTTACAGGACAGAACTTTAAATATTGTTGCAAGTAAAACAATACGTAATTAAACAACAACTAAGACGATATTATTTAAATAATTGCAATATTTTAAATTGAAACTAATGCACATTTTGTACCGCCAGGTTGACTTTTACGTGTATTTATAAAACATATGCTTTTATAAATTATTTGTTTGAGGTCAATACTTTGATTTTCATTAATTTTCATAAATATAACAAAGAAATTATTCGAATTACTTATAAATATAAATTTTTGGTTAGACAAATAGTAACATAATTAAAATAATTATGAATTAGCTGTTACACGCGACTTCATACGTGTAAAAATAATAAATAATAAAAACATAACCTGTGTTACTAACGTCACTTTTTAAAAATCAAGGAGTTTTTGAAATCGGCACAGTAGTTTTGAGTTACATCAATACATACAAAAATACAAATCTTTCCTTTTTATAACATTAGCATCGATAAACATTTTGCTAACCTTAATTTAGATGTATTGAACAAACACACATTTGTGTCACACATGTTCTTATCAGGTACAAAACAAAGAAATTCTGAATGCGGTCAGAACGTTAAAAGTAATATTAAATTTAACAAAATATTATAACAGACATTTTTAATTAATAGTTAAACATTTAATAAGAGAAAAATCTTAAATATTTCAAAATATCTGGTATTGCATACTTTATGTTAGCGATAAAGTATGCGTGATAAGCCAGCTCGAACACTAAAACTTTATACACTTGCATACCGATGCTGTTGCTTTTACTACACTTGCGCTGATTTTTAGTCATAGTAACATCGATAGTAAGAGTTTTTGTTATGGATTTGTAATCGATTGCTCTAATAATATCGATTTTAAACACGATTAATGTCTTTGTCCAAGTGTCAGTAAATAGGAAACAACATTAAGGGACTTCCTAAGTTTAAACTTAGTACGTGTATCGCTAAAAACTGTAATAAACCAGAATGAATTAGTAGAATTCACTTAATTTTTTAGGCCATGCAATTTATCACAGCGTCAAATCTCGCTGACCCGTGAATGTATATTGCGTTGGTTTCGATTGTGTTGTACCGTTACTCCGGGTACTATTCCATTAGGTTGGTGTATAGTGTATTTAAATCATACTGTATCGAGGCTTCGAAGTCGTGATAGACTACGAGTACCGACTCTGTTAGCTCAGATACGTTTGCTTATATTTTGCAACGGAGCGATCGTCCATTGTACCTTCCCATTGTTTTACGACTGTTTATAGACTGCATACGACAGTACTTCTTAAAATCTTTAAAAGTAAACGCATCAATATATAGGTAAATGGGTTGTATGATTGCAATTGATATAGTGAGTGGTTAGATTTGCTTATTAAATCAGAGGCATCTTTGTACATTTCAGTTATTTCTTTCTATTTTTCTAGGATTCTAGTATTTTCGGATTAATTGAGGAGTACTGAAATTAGCAATACTAGGTCATAAATTATCATAAACATAATATAAAATAAAGAAGGTAATAAATAAGAATTATTTCGTTTCCGCGAATTCATACCACACCGCAATATTTACTTGCAGTCAACAAGATGTCACCTTGGTTAGCGTCTGCCTGCAGGATTTAGAAGTTGTTATGTTTCCTTAAACAGGTCTATGACCAACATAGAGTATACACGTAATAGGGTAAAGTTTAAAAACACTTTTACTTTGCCAAAACGAGAAAAAACGAACCGAATACTAAAGGAAAGCAATTTATACTCGTAACCAACTAGTATACATTGTTTTAAAATAATGCCAAAAGGGAAATACAATCTCTATGAACTACCTTGCTTTGACAATCGATATTGAATGGTACTTCAAGAAATCGGTATCGACAGCATTCAATATATGGCTATTAATATTAACATTGCTTAGTCATTGAAAACTGGGTCCGTATATGTATTTTAATAGTATTTTATGTTTCAGGTACAATAATATAATATACACATTTTCCATGTATCAAGAACACCGAAGACGGAATCTTAAAGCCGGTGGCTGGAGAACGAAAAACTTTCCTACGTAGGTCGTTCACCTCCGCCGAAAGAGTAAGGAATTAAAACGATTGGATTTCAAAAGGAATAAAGATGCAGTACATACGAGCATTTTTCAAACGGATCACGGACGATTTGAAATTAAAAAAATTGATACCATTGAAGATTTTATTCTTCGTACACGCATCAAGTAAGTTATTTGTCGCATCTAATGCTGTAAGAATAATTGTGTAATTGAATCTCGAAGGCACAATAATGGTTTCGCAACAAATAAATTGCCGTATAGTTTATGTGGCCGTGCTCCGAGTGCTTGTATATTTCATAACACAGGCTTATGGAACGTTGAAAGTCGATGTATTTTTCTGGTTTATCGCTTTGGATTTGAAATCGTTCTGCGAAAAAGCGTTTTATTTCTAATCCTAAATGATATTCAATTTAGTTGAATAAAAATCAAATTCGAGAATCAAATGCGAATTTTTGCATGGATGGATGAATGTTTCTTACTACGTATCTTCAAAACGGCTTACAACCTGTCTCGATGAAATTTAACACACACGTTCTGTTAATTCCACGCGAACGACATCGCGGTGAAAAGCTAGTATCAATTTTTTTACTATTATCATAAAACCTGAAAAAAACCGCGACCACGATAATGTTCTCATACAGGTGTGACGATAGTAAAAAAAATTTAAGCACGTGTATGTACATCTTTTGGCCGGATCAAGTAGATTAAGCGATTTGTTTTTTTGCTTCTATAAAAATCGCTGTATTGCAGCTCTATTCGTCTTGTACCCGTACCTGACGATTCACATGCGTGAGCTGGGCATCAATGTAGAGGAGACGGCTATCATGTCAGCGGTGACGCCCGTCATCTCGATCGTCATGCCGCCGCTCGCCGGCATGCTCGCGGACAAGATCGGCAACTTTAGGGTAGGTATATTAATTCTTCTTTGTTTTCCTCCTTGATAAACTGATCGTAGTTTTCAGTGGGTTTTGCGACGTTTAACTTAATGGTTACTTGTCGCTTATGTTTTCTTTAATAAGGTGGCATACGAGCAATGGCTACTGGTATGGCTAAAATAGCGAGAACACTACCTATCAATGTTTGAAACAAGTAAATATGTTACAGATAAATAACTATCTAATAAATAAATTACCAATAAGAAACTGAAAGTCACGAATTCGTAATCTGTATTCCCAATTTTTTGTCTTTCGTACGACAAGCAAAAACATAAAGATTAAGAAGTCATACTAATATAACCGCAAAGTTAACATTTTCCGGTTTTCATCTTACGTAAATGATGATACGAGAAACGCAAATAAGAACAAATAGGCTTGTACAAGCTTCGGATTAACCTTTAGTTTTTTGTTTGCTTAATCTTGTTTCTAACATAAAATTGGTAATTGAATAGAGCATGCGATGCGTTGAACTGAATGGATTTTAGTTATTTACGTCCGCCTAACGTTCTGGTTTGATTGAGTTAATTCACAATGAGTGTATCGCTAATTAGATTCAATTCTGGATACAATAACCTTTACCTTGTATTGTGGTGGCAGCATTGTAGCGAAGCGGCCGCTCCTACGCCGCGTGGAGGCAACGCGACAGCGGCCGAACAGGAAGTGTCGTCTCTCATGTTTATTACTCTAGGTAGTTACAGTGACACAATCCCCTTTTTAAATATGTTATTACAAATCAACAATAATATCCAAGTCTGATCTTTCATCACAAAAATTGTAAATCGCAATGGTTGCAAAAAAAAATCGTTTGCACAATTACATGTAACTGCGGCCGCCATAGCTTGTTGCGATAAACGATGTCATGAATTAGTTCTGTCATTTTCCTATATTTTCCGGTGTCTGACTTCCTCTGATGTCTCTGTTACGGAACAATAAATTCATCGTCAATGTGAATTTACGTCGGAAAATGTCGGTTTTGTGTAGTTCTGCTAATCATTCTTCTTAAACGCTGCATCCTGTTTTTCTTTTAGTCTTCAATTTGCCTGTAATTACGGCTTTTTCATGAATGTACGTTTGCTTGCGAATAAAATCTGCAATTGTTCTGAAGGTTTTATAGTTAGTGTTTATTTTAAGATGTGTAAATTTTAAGACAAATCTTATGTCATGCTAAATGAATGGCCTTTTAATTAGTAAGACATCAAGAGTATTTCATTAAAATTCTTCAAATTGTTTGGTTTTCCGCATATATAATTTTAAATTATGCATATCATGTTGGCTATTTTATAAGGTTATTAAATCAGAAATATTATCTTATTATGTTATATTTAAGCTCGTTATCAAAAGTTGACAATTCGTAGCTACTGCTGGCGTTATCATCTGCGTTGGGTGGGGCATCTGCGCTGCTGCTACTGGCGGTGCCGGTGGGCCGCATCACTGTCACCTACCCGCCCGCCACGCAGCTGCTCAGCACGTGCCGCGCCGGCGCTCTGCAGCTGCGCCCTCTGCCGGGCTACCCTTGCACCCCGCTGCATCCATACGCCTTTGATGTCAACTTGACGTAAGTATATGAAACATGGCGTTTTTTATAGTTAACTTCACTACTGCGTAATAGTATCCTATATGTTATTATACAGGATTTTGTCTTGCGGGTTCGTATGCGAGATACCCGACGAAGTTACTTCTAAGGAAATCGAGGCTATGATCCACACGAATTCGTACGACGTACGATTACAGTCGAACTCACATGATCAACGCCTGCTGTACCGTCATACGGTATCTCCGCTGCCGATGAAAAGCAAAATCCTAATGAAAGATCAAAGCACTTCAAGAATTATGACGGATGACCCTTTCTTTAATTCTACAGTATCAAGATTATCGGACAATGAGTTATTTTTCCCAGCACCGACCCTTTACCAGATGCAATGTACGCAAACCGAAAACAACGCGACCTGTCTATTTGGACGGAAAAACTTTCTGAACGATCTGGAAGCTGATAACGAAGAAAATACTAATACAGAATATCGTATGCGGATATCACATGACGTTCAGAAATCGTCCACCGAAGTAAAGGATTACTGGGTTAATGCAATTTCAATTGGGAATGGAACTAAGTATGACGCAGATTATGAAGGCGTTGATAGTACGGCTTGCGAGGATAATTTTATTGGGGTAATTTTCGTACATTTCTTTAACTAATTTTATTTATCTTACTTAAACTTCTGAGTATAATTTTGCGTTCTTATGCGCCAAAAAACAATAGGTTCGAAATTCATTTCTAGATCCAAATGTTCATTAACTAAGTTACCAAACGTTTAGCAACACCCCCTTTCTGTTTATCATTATTTTGTCTTTTTTCATTCGTATGATATGAAACCTAAAAAACCAACGGATTTTTTGTTGATAGTAGTTTATTTATTCAACACAAGCTTCACATTTGTGTTATTTGTTGAGTTTAGTCATTATTTGTAGGACGAAGACGTGGATAATGTTCGCGTGAAGACAGGCTCCAGACTACTGAGCAGCTGTTCATCTGCGTGCGCCGCGCTCACACCGCGGAAGAACTTGTGCGAGAACTTCCAACAACAGATAGAGCTCGATCCCACGTTCACATTCTGGGCGTACATGGCTGTAAGTATCTATTGTTTTATTGTTTCGTGACCCTGATGCCTTTAACTGACGAAACAGTGTAATCCCAAGAGTTTGTAATATGATATGAAGTTGTTATAAGTAACTTAGATGTAATTCGTAATCATAATATGAAGTTTTAAAACTGTATAGGTTGATATTATTATTTTTTTATTTATGTTTACAGGGGGCTTTGTCGCGAAGCGACGATAACGCTCCGTAGTCTAAAACTTACAAAACTCAATTATTCAACTGCTTTCTTAAATATATGTCGGCCAACTTAAACACTATCCCGGCCTCGTACATATATGTATATTAATTTGAAGATTTTATTAACCCTAACTAAATTAAAATAAATACTTTGTAGAAAACGTTTACGTTACCTTTAAAAAATGCATGCAATTCAAAATCAATTATTAAAAAGAGAATACGAGTGTTTATAAGAAATGCTGTACAAGAATGATAAAGTTTTAACCGTGAGTTACCACTGCCGTCTCAAGCATACAAAATATTGTTTTCTCATATTTTTAAAGGAGAATGCATGAGTAACAGTGTGTTTCTGTACGAGTGTTGTAGTGTAAACCCACGATATACGTGATGAAGATTGAGCGTAGCCGTTAATGGAAAGATTGTTGTGTAATAGATGCTAACTGGGTAATGGCTGTTACGGCAGTGAACCCCTTCACTACACGTCATATACCACGGCGTACTGAGACTCTGGTACACACGCCTTTACTTAAATTATACGAAACGGCACTTTACATTTATCTATAACCATTTCTGAAGTTGTTTTATTAATTCTATGAATTTAAACCAGTCGTAATAAAAATAATAACTTTACAATGATCGATGTCTATCTATATTTATAAAAAAAATATGCGATCCGAAGAATTAGTTATAATTGCTTTGTAAAAAGAATCTATAAATATGCAAATCAGTTCTGAACAGTTTCGATTATACAATTTTATGATTTGTAATAGTTTTTTTTATTGTCATCTTCTTTATTATTAAGATTAACTATTAGAATTCATTATGACAACTTTTTTTTGCTTGTCTATTATAAGACCAATGCACATTACCGATATGCCTTCCAAGTCTACACTCAAGTTAATTTTTTGTTTTGGAAACGAAATTCCGTAAATGGTTTTTAGTCAACTTGTCTTTAAAAGAATAACTGTATCTAATATCTATATCTTCTCTTACTTTTTCAATTCTTTCTGTAGTAATTTTATTGCCATGAACTTTCACTTGTAGATAATAGAAGCTTAGAAGCTCGTAACCTCACGTAAGTTATGTATGTCGTAACGTGAGACAAACATCTTAGCCTTGTCCCAGATGTCGCGAATGTGACTAGCGTGTACTCAACCACAAATGCCTACGAATACAGCTAAAAAACGTAATCTATTCAAACAATAAGATAAAAATAAACACTCTTGAAAATATCAGGAGGCCCAATTTTAGCCTGTCCCACCTTTTTCTGTTAAGGAAAGGATTGGAAGGGAAAGTGGATTTGATGGTGGAGGAGACGCACAGAAAGGGAAAATATTCTCTTTATGTGCGTCTCCTCCTCCGTCGATTTAGGGTAGGCAACACATTTGCAATTGCAGATGTCTATGGGCAGCGTTCGCTTTGCCAATTTGGCGGATTTAGGTGGCCGCTTGCTCGTTTGCCACCGTGCTGTATAAAAAAAAATGAGACCCAATTTTAGGCTTCCTATTTGACTTTAAACTTGGTTTCCAAAATACTTTCGAAGCGTTGTCTCAATTTACTGCTATGTGATGGGAATACCTGGTTGAAGCGTTTATCAATATAAGAATTAAAAGTGGGTCTTGTTACTCACCCACTTCACAATAGAGAAGGTTCATTCTCTAACTAAATTGGCCTTAACTAATACGTTTAGTTTATTGAATATTCAAAACACATTATCAAATTAAAATATTTATATAAATTAACACATGCTTTTATTTAATTTTAGGTAAGAGTTTTCATTGGGATTATTGGTGGTACGGCTTTCGCGATGTTCGAGGGCGCGGTGATCGCTATAATCAGAGACCAGCGTGCAGACTACGGGCTGCAGCGGGTGTACGGTAGCATCGGGGGCATGATCTCATCTCCTCTTTCCGGGCTGCTCATTGACTACGCGAGCAGAGGCAAGGGATACACGGACTTCAGGTAGGTAAAAACCACAGAACGAGAACGGTTTCTGAAAAGCTTGTCTAACTGACGTTTAACTGAAAAAGATAATTGGAGAGATTTATACAAGTTTATTTGTGGTTTCATTGGCAATTTAAGCACCGAATGTAAGGAGACCTAATTCTTGTGCTCATCGCTGTAATACTATCAGTTTTGTTTAAATTCTATCAAATTTAATACTTTTTGTTATTGAAGGAATCGGATTTGTCGAGTTAATATACTATAAGCTGTGGTTTCTTGCATGACAATACCGCAATTTGACCCGTATTCAGAAATTTAATATGATGTATCGTGTTCTTTGTTAAATAGGAAATGATTGCTTACAGGCCGGCGTTCTACTTGTATGCGGTTTTGAAAGTTCTGTCCGGAGCGCTCATGCTCAGCATAGATCTAGAATTCAAACAGCCAGCTCAGAATCTTCTAGAAGATGTGATATCTGTGTTCAGGAATATTGAAATCGTCGCATTGTTTATTGCATGTTTTATAATGGGTAAGATATGTTTTATTTACCTTCAAGAATGTGAAGAAAGTAGATGCGAAGGAGGGATATTTTAAACTGCTTAGGTCTACAACCACTTATATTATTTTTGTTGCTATTTAAGTCTTAGATTTCAATGCTAGGCGATGTGTCGATCGACCTACAAACTAACGGATGTCTACGGTCGTCCATACAAATTACTTTTAGCTCGCCGCGCTAAATTAATTTCATCTTCAAAATAATAATTCAGTGAAATCGTGCCATAGAATTTTATATCGACTATTTGCGTTCTTTCGCGAAGTAAAAAAAATATTTTTCCTTGTTTCTATCATTCCACGAATTTTGGGAAAGCTTTCTTTGACAAATATAAAACAAATCTTTGTTCGTTACAACTGTGAATTCGATGTCTGTTTAATCGTTGATTCAATACATGCTTTATAGCTTTTTAGAAAATGAATTTTCTTCTTTTTCCTATTACGGTATTATAAAAGATTCAATGATTTGATAAATGGTACAAATAGTTTTTTAAATGCGCAAAATATTTCGACTCTTACTAGAAATCAAAATCAAGTTTTTAATTATGCAAAGAATAATTTCCAAGACGAAACAAAAATAATTATAGAAAAATTATTGTAAATTCCAGGTACCGCATGGGGCTACATCGAGAGTTTCCTGTTCTGGCTACTACAAGACCTGGGGGCGTCTCGATCGCTGATGGGTATCACTATCACAGTGGGTGGCATCGCGGGCCTGCCGCTGCTCGTCCTATCAGGACCCATCATCAACAAACTGGGACACGCCAATGTACTCTTCATTGGCTTCGTCTTCTATGCTATTAGGTTACTTGGTAAGTTATTGTAAAATAGTCCAAATCTAATCAGAAGGGCAAAAATTTCATTGATTTTTTAGTAGATATGTAACTTTGATTAAATTTCTGTCCTCCAGATAATTCTAGTAAATGTATTTATAATCAAATAAATATTTTACCATTAAAAATTAATATAAAGATAAGTAAGGTTTTTATCAATCTATACTAACATAATAAATCGTAAACACACACTTCTTTGTTGCCTAAGATGTCAGTAATTACAGTATATCTTTGAATATTTTTTTTTAAATAAAAAGCCCTACACTTACGTCACGCTTTAGCACGCCTATATATTTTCACGCCGTCAAACTTAGTAAACATTTTAGATAAAAACCCTAATGTGGGAAAGAGACCATAAGTTGTTGCCAACATAAAGGAAGCAAGGTTGCGATGGTTTAACATCGTGTCATGTCATTTTGACATTTGCAATTGATAATTTGACAAATGTGAAAAATACAAAGATTTTTTTATAATTTCATGCGGACGAAGTCCCATGGGAACAGCTAGTACTTTAATAAACATTTTACTTTAATCTTTCAATAATCCTTGTTTTTCAATTTTGCGGATGTACAAAAGTATCGGTTTTATTTAAGGCGACGTATTTTAAACAAGGAAATGCAACTAAAAAGAATATAAGGAAGTTGCATTTCAGTTTATGAGTAAAGTACACTTATATGACTTAATTTAAATAATTCGATATACGTAAAACAAACAAACAACAAAGGTCAAAGTATTAACTTGTTTTAACTTAACCAATGTTAAGTCACGCAGCTTTATATTGTTTATATAACTGAGATTTAAATTTGCATGTAGTTTTAATTACGTAAAAACTTATTAATAAGGATATAGTAAATGTATTTTAATGTCAAAATTCAATATTGTTAGTAAAAAAATAAATTAATTGAATGTCGCATAATGTGCCACTACCGGCAACAAAGAAATGCGGTGTAAGGATCGTTGACATTTATTGTGACATGTTTTTTAACAAACATATGACGTAATAATTACTTATCAGACATTTGCATTTAATTATCAAGCTGTTAGCAGTTCCGTATTCATTTGTTTTTTTTTTTTAATTTTCTTGCTAGAATATAAATTTGAATTGTAAACACTATACTCACTAACATATTTTAAATGTCTGTGGAAACGCATGCAAACGCTTTTGCACCGAGCTGTACATGTTCTCGCAGATAACTTCGAGCCTTTATAAAGTTTGAATATTATAGTAGCAGTATTATGTTAATGCACTGCCAAGGAGACCTTTCATTTGCGTTACATTCGATTTTTCTAGAACGATCTTATCTCGGCTTACATTGGTACTAATCTTGTCGACATATTTACGTTTGCCTCGGGCAATCTTATTCAGCCACAGATTTGTAACGAGATTTACGAAATATTATTTACATTTTCACCTCGTTTAATCTTAGTATACCTAAGTTTAATTACAGCTTACAGTCACCAAAACATTAGTCTTAAGTTATGAGTCATTTTTACTTATAACCATTTAAGTTTGGTACTTAAATGGTTTCGCGACATTAAGATATCGATACAGATAATCTAATAATTTACACTAATACTTTTATGATATTTCTTTCGTTGATATTTTTGTAGTTTACGTTTTAAGGTATAATTGTATTACTTTTTACTGAGAATTAACCCGGGTGTGAGGCAATCTCAATGACAGAAGTGACTTAACACTTATCTCAATATGACCTTAGATTAAATATATGTACTATGGTATTATGATTGTTGCAGGATATTCGTTGATCTACAACCCGTGGCTTTGTCTCATCTTCGAGGCGCTGGAGTCGGTGACGTCATCACTGTCGTTCACTGCCGCAGTGACGTATGCAGCGCGTCTCTCCTCCGTCACCACCGACACCTCCGTGCAGGGACTGCTCGGCGGACTTTACTATGGAGTTGGTATGTAATATGTTGTTTGAATTATCAACTTTCTATCACTATAATGAGTGCTAGTAATTGGTTGCGACTTTGTCCGCGTGGAATTAAGGAAATATTAAAAAATAGCCTATATTACACACTGGTAACGTAGCTTTTTAATGGTGAAGAATTTTTGCTTCGGTCCGGTTTTTTTTTGAGTTATTTGAATGCATAAAAAAATCCGAAAATACAATTTTTTCATCTATATAACATCAGTATAGATTAGTTAAATGTGACCGTTGGGAGATACTTCTTAACAATTGCATTTGCGGTAGCTGTAACATTTAAAAAAAATGCGAAAATTGTCGATGAGGAGTCATTTACCTTGTCTATTCTCTAACAAATAAAATATTCTCTAACTTTCACCTTTAGTATGCCATTGTCCGAGAGTTCACGTTACCTTATAGATTGTAAAGGTGAGCTTTAACTCTACGCTACATTCTTAAATGCGACAATTAAATATCGATTAATGATAATCGCCAATGATACGTCATTACTTAATTAGAAGTTTGATACTCTTTTGTTTTGCATTTAATTGAATATTTATAATTCCATATTTGAAAACCACGAAGTCAGGATTTTAAAATAAAAGTAAAAAACAGCTACATATTAAACGTCGATTTTTTAAAAAAAATAATGGAAACTTTCAACCAATAATGCTATTTGGAACTTTTTGTTACAGGAAAGGGATCTGGAAGTTTGATAGGCGGATATTTAATGAAATTCGTCGGTACAAGACCAACGTATCAGATATTTGCAATCGCCACGTTCCTAACAGGATGCGTTTATTATCTATTTAACAAGTTCTACATCGGGAAGCGTCCTTTCGACGATAGCAACGACATCTGCAAGAAGAGACCGCCAACTTTGGACATCGAAGACTGCGAAGTAACCAAGAAAGAAAATGATAAATCAAGTGCGCCGCTAGATGTCGTTAGTAGGATTGAGAGTGATAAATTAAAGGGTCCAATTATAGAGAGTGGTCCGAAAAATAACCAATCAATGAAAGGTGTGACGGATATTGACGGCGGCAGTGATTCCGGTGTAGACAACCCGGCGTACGCTGAGAGCGAAGTCCCCAGTGACGTCACACGAAAGGACGACTGTAAAATTACCAAGTAACGTTTGTGATATTAAGTATGTTTAGTAGTTCAAAACTTACAAACTAGATTTAGAAAATTATCTATACAATTGTTGTAAGAAAATGTATAGAATATTATAAATTATAGAATAAATTTGACATATTATTTTCTTTTGTATTATTTGTTAACGGTTTACATGATAATGGTGGATCGGTGGAATGTTTTGTTAATAATTTAAATAAACAAAAATCCGTAAAATGTTCCACGGCAAAGAAAAATAATCAGGTGCTATAGAAGAAATAATAATAATTGGTTTTGAGTGAAACAAAACCATGTCACTAAAGAGTTCTTCCTTACACTTATCACTTAACTACTATTGCATAGGTTAGTTTTTCCACGACTCTATGACAAAGGCATATTTCGAGTATGAAGATATGGAGCCAGTCCAGCCAGTTCAGCGCCCAGAAAAATGCCGACAATCTGTTGATGTGTGTTGGTTATCCATCAAATCAAAATTAAAATTCATCAAAATTAAACGTCGCAATTATATTCATGTACCCAAATTTTGAATTCTAAATTCACGTGACGACAGACATAACTACATACCTGTAATCGGTTACTTTAGCCCATTTTTATTTGAGATGCTCTGAATATTTTATACAAATATGTAACACTTTCTATTCTTGTACCGCGAGTGACATTGATTATGTCGCTAACCAGTGTAAATTGCAGTCGATGCGTGGACCATCCGAATCGTGCTTCAGGTGTTCCACATACTATATAGTACCGCTACAAATTATCGTTATTTTACTCCCGATAAGTCCTCTATTCGGACATAGTGAAAACGTACAGCATATTGTCAAATAACCATTCTCAAATCAGCATTTGAGTCGAACAGTCGTTTTCAATATTTCAATGCAGTGTGATCATTTAAAATGAAGAAATTAACATTAACTTTGTCTTTACTGGTTATCAGTGTGTTATGTAATAGTAAAGTTTCGGCAGGAAATTTACCCGGTCCAATGGTGTACGTGGTAACGCCTGCGACACGTTCTGCTCAAAATGATGAAGGAAGAGCGAGGCCGTTTTACTATCGCAACTGGATACGAAGAATGGACTCCGAAACAAGCACCACTACTGCAGCTCCGACTACCTCAACAGTTAAAGTGGATACACCCGATCTCATATTTGCTGAATTTGAATCGGACGGTCACATGAAAAAAAGCATCAGAAAATTATTAGAGAAAGAAAGGGTCGAAACCAAAACTTCTACAACGTTCCAACCTATTTACGTTCCCGATGAAGAGTTTCAACCAGTGGCCCAAAATACTAACTATGGCTTACCATTGCCCACAGATAAGCCAGACCAAAAAGAAACTGAGGAAAGTAAATATTTTGAAATGCATAACAAATTCTATAACATTGCGCCTACGACATATACTCAAACAACCTCGCCTACGACTACTACGACTAAAATACCCACGACAATATCGACACAAGCTACGCCGAGTAACATTGAAAATATTTGGCATATAATCGACAGTGAGAAATCAACCCAACATTCGGGTAATTGGGAAGAAGTGCCAATTGGAACGAATGAGGAAGAAAGTAAAAGTGAAACCCAACCTCAAACTAATACTGACGATCATGTTATCGAAGAAGATAACAAGGAAGACAACGAAGACGACGGCGTATTCACAGATTTCGCAGTACCCGGGTAACTACATAAATTATCTTAGGTATTTTGGAGAATTGTCTATTTGTATGTATGTCTAAAATGAATATTTTCTTTGCAGGTTTTCTGCAAATCCGGGAAATGACGCTGAGAACGAATCACGGGGCATACGCACGGAATCGAATTTTCGTTTCCCTTACGTTAACTTAAAACCTTTTCAGATAAAAACAATGAAGAAACCCACTAACAACCTCTTATCGAATAGTAAGAAGAATAATAACTTATTTACTAATTTAGATAATTTCTACGATTTGAAAAATCCCATTCGAGGTGAAGCGCAAGATATTGTGCCTCAACAGAAACCGATCGATCGGTATAATCCGGCCCAGCCTTATTTGCCACAACAGAGTTATGGCAGTAATTCCAAAGAGTCTAATAATGTCCCCGCGAAGGCTACAGCTAACCTTGTGCCACCTCCTCCACCTCAGGCGCCGAAAATAACCGATAATGATTTCCCTTCGCCTACAAACTACGAATCTTTTCCCCCATACGCACCTTTAAGCTTCAACAGCGCACCACAGCTGCCGTCTCCCCCGCCTCCAGCTCCTAAGCCAGTATCAAGTTACTCGCCGCCGGCTCCCGGTCCTCTACCAGTATCAAGTTATTCACCGCCAGCTCCTGGTCCTCTACCAGTATCAAGTTATTCACCGCCAGCTCCTCCTGGTGACTCAGGTGATTCGGATACATTCGACTCTCCGCCCGGACCTCCCATGGATCACGGTGACTCGGATTCAATTTATTCTGCACCTAGTTCACCCGAAGATAGCGGCGACTCTGATTTACTTAACGGTCATGGCGATGACATGGACCTGGGATATCGTTATAAGCCACCTTCAGGACCTCCGCAATCATTCGCACCCACTGCACCTCCGATGCCAGCTGAGCTCCCTATGCCTCCCATGCCGATGAAACCATTCGAAGGGTACAATTATAACAAACCTTTCATGCCGCCGGATTCTGACATGCCAGACCATGACATCAAGCCAGACTTTCACGGATTTTATGACGATAAGCCTGATGATTTTCATTATCACCATCATCACCACCCTACGACAACTACCACCGAAATGCCTCGTGTCAACAGGTACAGTTACTACTATTTGGGCAAGAAATTGTATTACTTGCCGCTTTATTTTAGTGTGTACTTCATTGTTTACGTGGGAGCCCTGATTGTGAAGGCGGTGTTGCGGCACAAGATTGTGTACCCCAACAGCTGGAGACCGAACGATACAACGGCGGGCTTCTTCTCTAAGAGATCCATAGATTCTTGGGACCTTTCAAATGAAAACTTGCACGAGGTGACTGGAAAAGTAACACACGCTATTGCAACTGCAGCTAAAATATACATGGACGGTAAAGACAAAAATGAATAGAAACAGAGAGTTGCAGTAACTTAATTTAATGTACATATATTTAGGAGAATATTAGACTAAGTCGTTGTGATCTGGACATATTTAATATCAAACTGTATGTATTCATTAATTCATCGTATTTTAAGTATAGTTCATACTCACAACGAGGCTATTGTAGATCTGTTTCTAGGTAGTATAAGTTATAATAAAGTGTGTTTTTACTTCATATCGCAATTTTATTTATTATTTTACCTTTTTTCTTACACATTTTATGGGGTTTATTCTTAAGAAGTAAAACTAGCCTGCATACTGAAATTTGTCTTTATATTTTGGACTTAACTTGAACCTTACTAAAACTGGCTTTGATTTTAATTGAACAAAATGAAAACTTGGATGAAGATACACATTTAATATATTTTTTACATCATTATTACCAATTAAAACTTAATAATTACCTTATTATTTAAGTCTAAAGTTTAAATAACTAACTAATTTATAAGTCCTGAAAATGGCGATATGTCGATTATTACTTGATGTGTGGCACAGTGCACTGCCCTTAGTTCTACTCGGGATGAGAGCGGCACTTAAAGAAGACCTCGGTGTCTCCACAGCCGATCTCGTATATGGTGAACCACTTCGGCTGCCTGGCGAGTTCATTGCTCCTTCGTCTAACCCGTACACTTCTTCAGTCACTAATTTTGCGTCGGTGCTGAGGAGTCACATGGCTAACATAAATCCTGTTCCGGCAAAGCATCACTCAGAACGGCGTCCCTTTGTTGTTGGCAACTCATGTGTTTTTAAGAGACGATACAGGCAGGTCATCATTAAAACCTCCATATACTGGTCCATTTCCAGTAGTAAGCAACGACGGGAAAACCATAACTATTACAATAGGAAAAAAAACACCAAAGTAAGCCTGGACCGGGTGAAGCCGGCGTATGTTGAAGGGTCATCGACGCTTGATTCCATCCTCCCTTCACAACCATCGTCTTCTTATCTTAACCCTTCCACTGTCGGTTCTCCTTCAAAAGTAACTACATTCATTCCTCAACAAAACCTGCATACATCTCAATCGTCATCAAATAGCACCCCTCCTGAGTACACTACCCGTTCAGGTCGCAGAGTGCGTTTCCGATTGCCCATCAAAGTTTAACATTTATCATACACCATCTTGAATTAAGGTCATGTATCTCCTTTTTCAGTATGATGTTTCAATTTGTATTCAATGTTTTGTATGGGTCATTTTACACCGTGGGGGGGGGGGTGATGTGGCGATGTAACTGGCATGCGTAGTCTCGACTACGCATGTCAAAGTTCGAGGAGAAAAAGAATGTCAGTAGATTAGAAAACTAAAGCGAGAAGGATGTAAAATAAAGATATGTAAGAAGATAAATACGTCTTTAGTGGTGAGCCCGAGTAGAACTAAGGGCAGTGTCGAGACTACGCATGCCAGTTACATCGCCACAGATGCTTATAAGCAATACAAATCAGACATTTCGGAGAATAATCGTCTAGATTCTCGTGATCAAATCTATTACAAATTATATCCCATTTCAAAAGTAATTAATTTCTCTCATGTTTCTGATGTGCTTATAATTTTATAATGACGATAGTGAATAAGATTTTAGTCTCAATCATTTTTCCTCTGAATTTATTATCACTTTTACTATTACTGCACTGATCAAATTAAAACACGAATTTAATTGAAAAGTAAAAATAGAAGCTTAGATTTTTTATAATTGCTTATGACTAAGTCTGTAAGTAAATATTATTAGCAAAGTTTCCATTCACGTGACTGTTAAGTCGTCTACATTTTTTCTTTTCAAGAGTGAAATTGCATATTGCTTGCTATCCTGAAGTCTATTTTGGAATTCCTGAAGACTTGCAGATACCCTAAATGTTTGTGACAACGATGCAACTTTCGCTAATACATTAGAGAAGAATTCCACTTTCTATGCGATAGTCTTATAGTTTATCCATACTATGTGATGTGTTAAAACATGCTAAGATGTTGTTATTAAATTACATACTGTAGTTGTTACTAACAGTATGTACAGTCAGGGAATCTAGCGGCGTTCCACATTAAAAGCTAGTCTTATGATCGTTTTGTACGTGTTGAAACGACACGAATCAATATTCAAAAGGATGCAGCTTTTAAATGTGTTTATACGAAAAAAGGTTGGTCGGTCGTACATGACTGCCTTTATCACGTCGTTTACGCAACTTAGTGCGACCTAATCCTAATTGGTTATTAGGTAAGCAGAGGCGGTGTTTGTCTTGTTGCAAGGAACAACGCTGTTTCTCCCGTAAGTAGAACATCGCGGATTTCCGCGATTGTACTTCAATGGTTTGCTTACAAATTGCATGCAAATATGAACAGTCCTACTCAAAAAATATGGAAGAAGCAGTTAATTGCATCTCATCTCATAATCTATGATTCCTCAGTGATGAGGAATTGCTAAAGATATTTTTAAACCAAATTCATTCTATGCGTAGATTCGACAAATGTAGTTAATAACCGTTTCATGTAGAGTCGACTGCGTTAATATGTAATTACATAAATATTGGATACTTGTTATTGGCCTACGGTTATATAGAAGCACGTATTCTTCATAAGCATACAAATAGTAAGAAAGATACGGACGGATACGATCATGCATAACTCGGATAACATCAATATGAAATTCAAAGGTTTGTGAAGTCAACCAATCCGCACTAAGCCAGTGTGGTTGACTAAGGTCCAGGTGGGGATTTGTGGACGTGATTACAATGAATAATTGCGGGTGCTGAGCTAACAATCGATCGAAATTTTGCTTAAACTTGATTAAACTCAGTAGTATTAAAATTCTATTTCATTCATACTAAAGCAACGGCTTTGCTATTTTCAAAATTAGAGAGAGCGGTTTACGTTATTTGTTTTACATATTTAGCACTGCATTTTTTACTCTAAAAAAAAATAACATCGTGTATCTAATCAAAGAAAAGCCTCGTAGCGACAGCTGCCCGAATAAGTTTTAAGTTTTACTAGTCTCGGTGTCAGTGAAGTGACAATCTCGCAAATTAAATTGACACGTCGGAGAGTAAGGGGAGCACGATGTGTTTGCTGAATCCATATCGCAGGCGCTCCCTTTGCGGTTAACTGGGACGGTTCGTTTCAAATCATTCAGTTTGTCTTCAGTCAACTGTGCACTAAGCACGGGTGCTGTGGAGACATTTGAATAAAATACGTTTAAATTGAAAGCGATAGTTTTCAAGTGAGAAGTTGTGGTATATTAGATTGATAGGTGATATGGCTATAAAGGGTATACTTCCGATGACTTGTCACGCGCTGGTGTGGGCATTGGCCGTTGCGTTCGCGCTGTGGGCAACCGGCGCTGGCGCTGAGCCGGCTCGCTACGATTCCGCAACACCACACTCGCCGGTCTACAGTAGATACAAATATGTACCACCGTAGTAAGTAACTTTGTCATGTATTTGTTGAAAGATATAGGTACCAAATAATTAAAAACATTTTACTTATGTTTCATAACTACTATGTACTTGATTTATTATAACAGAATGAATACTTCTAACTCTGGCATCGACGTCGTTGCTGTTAAAGTGAATTTTTGAAGTGAAATTGAATTGAAGAAAAGTTTTCAGCATCAAAAAGACTAATTAATTCCCGTTTTCAATTAAGGTTTAATTTTTTAACCGATCAATTATTTTAATATATAGAAAGCGCCTGTGCAAGAATTTGCTTAATGCTCAAATGAGTTTTCTTGCGATGTCCAATTGTCAGGCATTTTAATCATTCTGAGGTCGATATAGCAACGTATCTTTTATAGTTTGAAATGCTTTATTTATACTAGTCTTAATAAATTCTTGTTAATAATGCCATTTACTTATGTGGTTTTATAAGTAAGCTTTGAATTAAGTTAACACGCAATTAATTAATACAAAGACCATTCTTCATTAGCTAACATTGTTTCTTAAACGTATTATTAAAGCGGTGTCCACACATGCACTATAGTTTGTTGCTATGAAAATGTTATCATTGTCAGACCGTTTATGTACATGTAGTTAATTCTTTTTCACTATTGTACTGAATATTCAATTTTATGTTTCTGTTGAAGTTCATATACATACATCCAACTCTCAATTCCATCTGACAGTACGTTTAGTGTGTGACCTAACTTATTTTTAGAATTCCAAACATTTGCAGCTTAATGCATGTTAATATTTGTCATTCTTACATGTAAACTTTAAAGTTCCAGTTACAATAATTACGAACGCGAAGATGTTAGTTCTGCACCTCCTGACCCTGAGCCTTCGGGGTACAAGATCGCACCCTCCGAGCTGATACTCTCCGGATTGAGGACCATTCTGGATGTCGTCAGGAACATGAACAAGAAGCGGATGGAGAGCAAAGCTCTTCAGACTCCTGTCAATTCGACTGCTATTCAGGTGAGATTAGTGACAACTAGTGACACCGACATAGATTAAAGAAATAATGTAGGTAATAAACCTAACTACCTTACTCAGAATTGCTGATAGTTTAGATTTCTTATACTAAGACTGTGCGCAAATCTAAAACTAAATTATCGCATAACTGTTTAGTCTCGGTTTGATTCCCATGTGCTTATATTGAGGTGCGCATACTACTCGATATTTAGTTGTGAATTGAATTGAATTTGCTGCGAAACAATCGACAATCGCACAACAGTTGTTCGATAGTTAAGTCAAAGGTGTGCGCCCACTTTATATCAAAACTGTGCTCTCGTAGTAGCAATTAAAACTATCTGAATGGCAATATTTTTTTTTTCCTTAAAACATTTTTTTAAAGAACATTATGTAATAGTTTAAAACATCAATTAATTTGATATACATCTGTGGTGTTAGACTTCGTACATATTATTTTGTGGATATATTTAAATCTCTCCTAAAAGTAGTAAAAGAGAATATTTTAACATTGTGTTGTAGTGACACCTAGTGTCATGGAGATCGAATTAGGGGCAATGGTACCGGTGCGTCGGAACTGGGTGACCGAGTGCGACGGCGCTAATTGCCCACTGTGACCGCACCCTTGTTTGCACAAACAATGATAACGCCCAAAAGAAAGTTTGGGCGCTACATTAATATTCGAAAATCCCGTAATCGAACACTTTCCATGTAGGATTACCTAGCTCGAAAACTAATTTTAACGCTACGCAAAAAATAAAAGCTATAACTGGAGCCTGGAAACTAATAGATTCCTTCAATGACTAATTAAAATTCTAAGGGTTTATCCCACCAAATTGTAAATTGTCTGTCAACAATCCAACGTGTAAAATATGTGATGGAAATGTCGGATTTTGTTACCTTATCTGACAGTGACGTCATTTTTAAGCTATCTGAGCTATGTCAGCTAGTGGTGGGACAGGCCCTTAGGGTTTTACATTACCGTTACATTTTACTATAGCTTCAACAGTAATCATACAATCCCAAACAAAAGACGATAGATTGACTGAAACTTTCGCTTTTGGTTGTCCTCTGCCATACATTACAACAAGCATTAACAATATAACTAATTTCAATGGAATTGTTTTCAGTTGCGACGTGCTAAAAAATCAAACGAGACTGAGAGCGGTCGTGGCTTCGAGGACTATTACGATGAGCACCACGACCATGCTGAGTACCATGATGTGACCACCACCGCTAAACCGATGAAGCAGGGACGATACACCGACCCCTGGGCAGGGTACTATGACTGGATCATCAACGAAGGTTCATTCAAATTCTGGAGTGTTTTCCAGGTAACTATGTTTATTTTTTTATTAACTTGACATTCCTTTATTAACGTTAAATGGTAGCTAAGATATGGAATCAAGTATATTTTTCACAAAATTAGGTTTTCCACAAAACTACTACTAAGATACTTCTCTAGTAAACTTTAAACCTTGAATCTAAAGTCTAGATTCTAGACTAAGACAGGTATACATTTATACAGAGGAAAGATTTTTTAGTAACGTACAAAATTGAAAACTGCTTTGTTGGAAATATCTTTAGAATATATTAGGAGTTGGAGTATAACCAAACGTATTTAATAATAGTATTAGATTACTTATAGTAACTAGTAAATTATTAAAACAAAAACAATAAAGATTTCACGATGTTAAGTATTAACCATAAACCGTCTGACCTCAGAGGCGCTGTAGTGTATCGTAGCGAAAAATCACTGTTGTTTATATAATTATATAAAAAACACTGATTACTTTGCTATTTGACAAAATGTACGAGCGCTCGTATCACGACATTGACATAGTTATATTACCGAAATACGTATTCCTTAGGAAGTCGATCATTGTGACCTTACACGTTTGTCCTTAAGATTATAAAATATATTGTTCTTATAAATTATTTTACATGTAAAAATAGAGTATGAGTACTATATTAATATGTATGTTTACAATGAAGTGTTGCAACGAATGTGTAACACGATAGTAAAAAATAATAGATTTAAATTGTAAATTGTACAATATTACTCTAATAGTAAGGTTAGAATTATCCTATATTTTTGATGTTAACGTTATTTCCTCTCTCAAACATTCGCATGGTATTTGCGCGAAATAACAGTACTACGCCATTGTTATTGAGTTCACCGGTCATAGGCACCTTTATTGTAAAACGTCTGTTATGTATTAGATTACATATAAAAATAAGTAAACTGGGATGTTTATGTATTTCCTATTACTAAAATTTAGCTAGAAAATAACGTTAATTATAACGTCATTCTTATTGTGGTACATGGTCATGCGCTTCTTCATTAAAATGTTTCCGGATTTTTTTATCATCCAGTAAGTGCTAGCACTAACTAAACATAATAAAAATTCACATGGAACATACATTAATGTAGCAGCGTAACGTTCTTTAATTCAGATTTATTAGAACATGTATAAATGTACTATATTGAAATAATAAATTCACATTATTGCTCAAACTACGAAAAACAAAAAGAAACTACCAATTACTATGATATTTTATGCAAATAAAAGCTGTTTATTATTTTCTTTTTATCATAGGCTCAAATTGTCTCAAGTTGTATAATAAACTGGTTATTATAATCTGAATTTATAAATTAAATATTATTGTTTACTCGACCTTGATTATAACAATTACCTTGTGAATACTACGTACACGTACACGTGACACTCAAGTACAAGTTCACGTTGTGACGCGGCACCTGTCAATACAATGTGCAATACAATTTATCAAATTACTGTGTAATTGCATAGCACGATTAAGCTTTAATATTTAAATACAACACTATAATACGACATTAATTTTAACCTACCCTGCATAAGGGCGATCAGTTTGCCAGTTAAGTTGGCCCAACGGTTAACGACACCCATCTTTTATTTCTTCAAAGAGGCCTTTTTAGTCCCTTTCCCTTTCACCCTTTTCTTAAGAGGAAAGGATGGGAAGGAAAAGTAGATTTGACGGTGGAGATTTGAAGGGGAAATGTCCTCTTTATGTGGGTCTCCTCCTCCGTCAATTAAGGGTAAGCAACGTATCTGCGATTGCGGATGTTTATGGGCGACGGTCGCTTTCTATTTCGGTGGAGTTCAGGTGGCCGCTTGCTCGTTTGCCACCTTATTTTATAAAAAAAGAAAGATGCCTAGATTGTCATAAGTAATATGCAAATTGTATTTTTCAGCTCTTCACCGCTGCCCTTCTTCTGTACGCGTGCCTGTCTGCTATTTACTACGCGAAATTCAACCCTATCATACCGGACTACAGTTTGGAATACGATGACTACTTCCTTGAGCGGTCTGTAGGAAGGAAGGCCAGGAGTGTTGAACCTTGGGAATTACCATCGGGTCTTAGCTGGATGAACACTCAGACGTTCCAATTCATTTTGGATGCTATTGCTACGCATTATAGTGACCAATAGGGAAGGTTGAATTTTAGACAATTTTAAAGCGGGTGCAAATATTTATAAGGCAACGACGTGAAATCATTTAAACGAAATTGATATTTGCAACCTTGTTGCCTTGTAATTATGAATGAAGTCTGATTTGACGGAATTTCTTGATTTTGTAAGATTTCTTTGAATCGGATTTTAGGAAACAATACATCTTAAGGTATTTATAAATTAAATAAGTGTTTGTCATAGTTATGAACAGTTGTGCTCAATATTAGTTCCTAGATTACATTTGATTTACTTAGTTAAAAATAAATTAAGTCCAATTTTATATCGTGTCTCATTTCTAACACGCATTTTTTGTCGAGCACACGCTTTCAGAGGAAAATATAATAATAGGTTATATAGCTTAGGTAATAAAAACAAGGCGAGGAATAAGGCACAAGCTTATATGATGTTACAAGCGACTTGCGGCAGTAAAAGCTTCGACAGGAAAGTTCTAAACATTTAAGCACACTGAAACCTTATTTCAGTTGCATACAAGTTTAGATAATTAACTTATTGAAATTTACCACTACTGCATTTTGTTATTAAATCATGTGATTACGCAAGAAAAACATATGGGCAACTATTTTCGTACAATATCTATGCTTTAATTTAGCACTTTACGAAAAAGTCAGGTAAATTACGTATTAACTAAAACAAGAATTCACATGGCATAAATAAGATGTTATAAATTATTAACATTTTAACTTAAGCAAACGTTAAGTTTTTAAAGTAAGTAAATTTGATCAGTGTGTGCGAAGGTTTATTTCATATTACAGCTCGCAGGCGGCGTGCAGCGGGTGGCGGGCGTCCCGGGTTCGACGCCCGCTACCTTCGCTCCCCGGCTAGGACATTCACAGGATGTCGTTGTTGTAACCTCACTCGTTTACCCGCCTTCGCTAAATATAGCGATCTAAATTATTGATTCTAAATACAGACACTTTAAAGTAAGTTTAAAATTAGATTTAACCATTTCGTGTTATTTTTAATATGGTTTGGTCATTTTTCGACTCTTAAACTGGGTTGCCTTAAAAACTTTTTGTTGTAATTTGCCTAATTATTTTATTTATTCTAATACATATTGTGTTTTTAGCAATTTAAACATTTTTTTGTCACATTAAATTAAAATAGAACAAAATTCAAGACGACATTATTCGTAGATGGATAATGACAGTTAAGATGTTCGTTTCAGCGGTAAGCCACAGAACAATTTCGTTTTGCGGTTTGCTGCCCATTGCTCGTAGCCCGTATTCGTCACGACTTGGCGATGTATAGTGGGCGTAACGTCATTACGTCAGGGAGCATCCGATCAGTTCAGATAAGTGAGCTCGAGGTGGTCTCTCGTCCGTGGTCGGGTTGGCGTTAGTTCAACGTTCAAGTGCAATGCGCCGGCACATCGCAGGAGTCAGTGTCGGTGCGAGGTTGCGCCGTCGCCACACTCGCGCCCCCACGCGGCCTACATTTTAAATTCGTCGTTCGACTAACTGAGTACGATCTAGCACACAAATTGTTCTTTGAGAAAAAGAGAATTGTGACTTAGTGTACGTGTGTTTTTGAACAGTTAAATGTTGATCGTCGTTATTTGTTGGATATTATTTTAAGGTAAATTATTTATGTCTTTTGTAAGCAATAACCGTATTTGTCGTTGTGTGAAGGATACATAAATCGTTTTACTTAATTAGAAAACTTTTACCATGAGTTTTTAATAATTTTAATGAAAGCTTAATGGAGGTAAAACGTAGCCTAATAATGAACGGTACATTACTTAACAATTGACAAGATCAGATTGTCTCTAATGCGAAATCGATGTAATTTCCCCGTACAAAAGACTTCAACGAGAAAGGCACCTTGGGCATGGTTATGTTAAGTTTTGCGGAATTTTATTCACCTTATAAAAAATTGAAAGATACTTTATACAAAGGATAAGAAAGTTTGACAAGGTTATATCAATCTGTAAAGAGTTCCTTTGAGAATCTCTGAAACTTAAAGTATTTTAAAATGATATATCATCATATATGTATGTATTCGTATGACCAAAAACTATTCCAAATGTAAATATAGTATAGTACAGGAAATAGAAGCCCTGAAATATTTTTGGTGATACAATATAACCTATCCTGGAATTATTAAAAGTTATCATTATTTACAAATTGAATAAGGTTCTTCGTTCGGATGTTCCCTAACATACTGATTCGCTTAGTCTTTGTGAATTTCAAAGAAATGTATTCGATAAGAGTAGTATAACAGAAACCAGAGTGTATATCTAGGATTGCGACGTCGTAAAAGTTTCACTATCAACCTGAATATGTCATTGTATGAAACATACAGTCAGTGGAAGAAATATACAAAGAAACACAAAGTAATTATACTAAACAGATAAATGTGGGTTTAAAATCAAAAGGTTTAAAGTATACTTAATGATAGCTTAACCTGTTGATAAATAACACAGCGAAGATCGATTAAATATTTTGCATAAATACCAGCTTTCTACATATATTGATCGATTATTTAATACTTTAAGAAATACTGTTATATGTTAAATATTGTTGTCACACTATTAATATAGGTTCCGTTACTGTAAATGCATAAAATTATCAAGACCGGTTTATATACACTATCTTCTTGAGTTAAACTGGCTTGGTAGGCTCTACTGCCATAAGGTTATAGGCTTATCATCATAACTTAACATAATTTAACTTACGAAAAGTCAGTAAATTTATTCTTATCTAAAAGAAATTCAAAAACTGTTTGTGATCGACATTCATGTTTTGTTTATACAGAATTAAAATATTACTAAAAATATTGATTTTGTGTTTTCGAAGATCTATACGTCGCTTTAATAAATCTTGTACAGTCAGCTGCCCAATTTAAAAAACTTCAGAATCTGACATCTATTGGTTTTAAAAATACGTATGTACGAGTGCATGGTCGGAAGCATACGGATAGAAATGCGTATACATTTTTAAATCTGAAGGTATATTGAGAGACAAGTGTTTCAAGCTTTGTATTTAAGCACCTAACTGCACACAACTCATTCAAACAACATCTCTAAAACGTTTTGGAATAAATAATCATATTAAGAATATTGGTCAATATTTTTTAAGTATTAACTAAATAATTTAAAGAAAAAATCTCTCCAGGCGAGAGATTAATTATGTATTGAAGTAAATGCAAAGGAGTGTTGAATCGATGCCAACATTTAACATTTGAATTGCATATCCCTTGTACAAGTTTTATTCAAGTCCGTTAAGTTGTCGGAACGTGTTTGTGACACTCACAAACATTTAATATACATGTTGAATAACGGGACTCTTTGGACATCGATAGTCTACGTTAGGATTAACAAATATATAACCTTATTCCCTTAAGTATTTAACATATTGAGTATGCATAATTTTATTTAAAACTTCAAAGGTCAATCGGAAAGTATTTAGCACGAACATACTGGAAACCTCATTCTATTATAATATGTAAAGCAATCCATAAGTTTCTTTTTGTAATAATCAAATACTTTATATCTGTTGGAGCTACTATTAGGTTTTATTTTGCATAACTCATGTACAGATAACTTTCGTTTCCTTAATAAGTGAATTACGAAGAAATTTGAGGTCAATGTCATACCTTGGTATGTATATTTAGTTTATTTGATGAATTGGATATTTTCTTTCAAATTATGATAATAGAATGAGTTTAGTTTAATGCAGCGATAGCTCGAAGGAGCGACTTTCTAATTTCAAATCAGGATGGGGCTCCGTTGACCGGTTCTACGATTGGTCACATCAATCTTTATAGTTTTAAATCTGTCTACTTGAGCATCATTTTCATTCATAATATACATGTATAATTTATTTTGATAATTCTAGTTAGATTTACGGAATCAAAAGTTTTCTTTTTATGTGCCTCCAGTATTTAATTTGTTTTCACCTATCTTTTACATCCTGATATTTTTACTTAATATTACTAATCCATATTTATACTTATAAAGAGGAAAGATTTGTATTTAAGGATTTTTCTATGTATTGACATATTCAATTATTGCACCATTAAAAGCTTATGTTATCACTGAGTAACATAGTCTATATTATTATTTTTATTTTTTAATTTCACGGAGACGATGTCGCGAGCAACAACTAGTGTATTATCCTTTTAAACAAACTAAATCAAATTAAAGTCGACCATTTTTTTGAGTTAAAATACTTATGAAAAGAATTTCTTAACGATAGTGCTTACGAAATATACATTAAACTGCGATTTATGGTCGAGCATCTATTGTAACTGTTCTTGAGTGAGCGGAACAACGAGAACGATCTTTAGCCACTAAAATGCCGCTTAACTTACTGTTATGTTGCGGAAGAAAAGGTGTGGAGAGATCGTAAATATCAAAACATACGACATTCTTTGTTAAAACATAAAGATACAATGGTTTTTATAGCATCGATTGCACTTGTTACAATATTTGATATTGCATTTATATAAATTCTTGCAAGACGTAGCTCAATTTTTCAAATACTAAGATTTAGAAAATATGATTTTGTGGTAATCTTTAAATGAATAGGAATTGAACAACACTTTGACAACGTATAATATATTCTTTAAAGTGTTAGTTCCATATCTTCAGAAGTTACTTAATTCCCAAATCAGCATACTGTTACCTATTCAATGCTAATTCAGAACCGTTCTTTGGATAACAATAAGAGTCGACACGCGATTTCGTTTATTTATACCTTTGGTATGTTCTGTCTGCATTGTAAGCTGTAACGGCCAATTACGTAATTAACAGTTAACAATTAAATGGTTTTTATTTATAAGAGAAGCAAACGAGCGGCGATTTTATACGATTTGAGATGTTTTTGACCGATTTCCCAAAAGGAGGTACTCAATTCGTCTGTATGTTTTTTTATGTCTGTTACAGCATAACATTGCCGCTAGTAGACCGATTTTGATAATAGGTAGTGCTTGCAAGTGGGACCATTTAAACATTTACACTGTTAGAAGTTACTAAAGTTATGATATGGCGGTTTAAAAGTTTAAAAAGTATGTAAGAATTGCAGTGAAATGTATTCTTGGAAATAATAGCAATAAAGGTAATCCAATATTCGACCTTAACATTGGTTTTTGCTTAAATGTCATTGAACTTGTCGCATCGCAGTGAACAATAGCGCACGAATCGTGACTGCGGCAAAGCTCTCGATGTCTTCTACAACCACGTATACATTAACGATCGAAATCAATATTCAATTTCGAACCAATTTTGATTAGGTGTCAGCAGTATTTTTAATTTTTGTTTGTAATAAATTTGGTTTAATTTATACCAATCTACAGATCACAAAATTGTAAGAATAACACTGTCTATTGTTTAGAAACAAAGTAATTCATGTAAATATTACCTTAAGTATTAAATATCGATTTTAAACTGAACCAAATATTTTTTTTATATTTTATTAGACTAAAAGCAATATTAAATCGTGCTTCAAATGCAAAAAAACTTGACATAGTAATAAAAGAATAACACAAATCAAATAATTACACATATATTGGTAATTGAGCATAAAAATGATGCATTCATTACACGGTGTTATTGTAATACATAGTTAAGTAATGTAATAGCTTGGAATGAATAACCGTGACGTCATCACGAAGGTTACGATGGTTCGGAAGCCAGATACTAGGTAAGGACGCCCGGTGCTTCGTGACACGCTGCAGTAATCAACAAGGCAGGAAACGTCTGAAAAACTACATCAATGTTTCGTCTAAAGTGATGTGTGTACAGTCACGCGCTACCCGTTTCATGCTAAAATTTATTATTTATAGTAAGATATAACCGTTTTTACATCGACTGTACTTTGGTAAAGTCAGTGGAAATGCCTCAACTTAAAACAAATCACTGTTATAAGTATCTATACGGCAGTGACAATTGTTTATTTTTTTTTCGGAGGTAATTCAAAACTCTGTCTAAAATTAATAATAACTATCTTTGCTCGCGACTTCGGAAGCTTGAGATGAAGAAAAAATATAGCCTATGTTACTCACCGATAAATTACCTTTCTAATGGTGGAAGAATTTATAAAAACGCTTAATTAGTATTTACATGAACCAAATACAATCAAAAATACAAATCTGTCCTCTTTATATATTAGTATAGTACAGTACTCAATTTCAAGGTATACAAAACTTATTTAAAATACTTTTGTCACTATCGTTAACGTAAGCTCGCGGATACCGTACATGTCCTAAATCAGGAAAATTCGCGTTAGCTCACCCACATTCCACGCATTCATACATACAAAATCGTCACTTAAATATTTAGGTTCGTCCCTGACCCACAAGGCGGTATACTAGTATTTTGTAAAAGAAAACGTATGCAAATGAGACACGTTTTGTGAAGATCAATTTATGAATATCTCAAGTTCATTGCTCCGAATAGAATGTTAATAATTTTTATACTTACGTGAAATATTTACACAGATTGTCCTGGAAAATTGTTTTGGTCACAAATACTAGACTTTTCCCCTTATCAGTTTTTGTAGGATAGATAATATTGATTCACATTTTCTAAATCAATTTATTTATTGGCCGTTTTATTTGCCTACCTTCTTGATTAT